CCAAGCTCCCGCGCGGCCCGGGCGGTCACGTGACCGAGCTCCCGCGCGAGGCCCGCCCGCGGCACCGACGCGCGCGAACTCTGGGGCCGCGGGCCCTGCCCGTGGGCTGCAACGCAGAGGTGGGAATGAACGCGAGGACAAGAAAATAGAAGGAAGCTGGACGACCTAAGGAGCAGCGCCATCTACCTGCTCCGCGCTGCCACCTACATCTGGGCTGCTCTGTGAGAGAGAAATGAACAATCTCATGTGAGCCGCAGTATTTATTCTTCAGTGTCTTTGTGACAGCAGTTTAGCCTGCACCTTAACTAACGCGTGTGACTTTCTGCTGCCTCAGCTGTGTGCAAAGAATCTTGAGGACATACTAGCCTGCACTAATTTAAAAAGCAGAAGGAAAAAAATCATTGCCAAGTTAGCATAACGGTCAGCAGTATTCATGTGCCAAAAATCACCCCCTCCCTGAGGCAAGGCTGGAAAGGGCCTCATCTATGCAAGGGAGTCCTGTCCTGCACAGGTTAAAGGTCAGAAAATCCAGATTCCTACCCCCCCCATAAAAGAGTGTCCTGAGGAAAGTTCGCCTTCCCAAATGAATTTCAGAAAGAAGGACCCTAAGCCTTTTTGAGCGGGAATCAGAAGCACTATGTAGATAATTGCCACTATCATTCCAAAACTGATTTATTCAAATCTTCCTTGCTAATTTAAAAGAATTTTTTTTACCTATCTAAAGAGATGTGTTAAAACATCTCCTCTCGTTATGATTGTATGTTTGACAGTTCATACTGGGAATTCCGTTTTTGCCTTTTATTTGAGGCTACTGGGTAGATATTAGAATTGTTCTATTTTTATAACAATCTTTATCCCTAATCATGAAGTTTGCCCTAAAGTCTGATAAAATTCTGGTAATTCTATTAACTTCCTTTTTTGGCCTGATAGCTCTTTCCCCATTCTTTGCCTTTGTTTTTTTCCTCTGCCCTAATAGTTTAGATGAATCTCTTATAAACCACAGATTTTTTTTTCCTCCAAGTTAACAATCTCTGTGTTTTAATTGACACATTTAGTCTATTTACATTTATTTAGGATTTATGTCTGTAATTTTATTTGGGGTTTTACATTTACTTTGCTATATATAATCTTTGCTTTTCTTTTTTCCTGCCTTTTAATGGATTGATCAAGTTTCCTCTCCCCTCTTTTCCTATTGTACTGTTTTGGTAGTTATTCATCTCATTTTTATGCTTGTATACACATACAACCACGTTAGGTGTGATCTTTACATTTTTATCACACATACTTGCCTTTAAGAAGTATAAAATAAGTCAGCATCTCTACTTACCTCCCAGTCTTCAGAGATCCAAACATCTCCCACTCTTTTTACATATTGTTGTTCAATACTTCAGTTCCACTTTATTTGGTACCCTTAAAATTTGTCAATATATATTTTTTGTCAATATTATTGTTATTTTCCACAGATGATACTTGTCTAAATTTAGTATCCCTTCTTGGATTTCATTCATTCTCTTCTGGTTCAGTTTTCTTCTACTTGAAGTAAATTCTTTAGGAGCTTCTTCATGAGAGTCTTTGATAATTAAAAACAAATAATTTCATCTCTGTTGTTTAATAATAATTTAAGTGGATGAAGAAGTGACAGTTATTTTCTCTTAGCATTTTGGATATATTATCTTACTGACTTTTGGTTTCTGTTATTGCTGTTGAGAACCTGTTGCCTATCTAATCAATTTCCTACAAAGGAAATATGCCTTCTCTCTGCAGTTGCTTTGAGAACTCTTTGGCTTTGGTGTTCTGCATTTTCATGATAGTGGACTCAAGGTTTGGATTTGCTCTTATTTATTCAGCTCATGGCTTGCTGTAGCGTTCTGAATCTTGTGATCCTTATCTTTTAACCATTATAGAAAATCCTCAGCCTTTTTTGTCTTTGAGTATTTCTTTTCCTCATTCTCTACTTTCTTGAGATTCTTATTATTTCTCATTTTATCACCCATATCTTTAATTACTCTCTCATACGTTTTTGTCTTTGTGATATATTCTGAATTGGAATCAGATGTCTCTTCCAGCATATTAATTTTCTCTTTAGCCATATCTAATCTATTCAAATTAATGACTGTAGTTATTGCTTCTAGAATTTTTCTTTTTCAAACCTGTATTTTCTTTTTACATGAACCTTGCACATTTATTAAGTTTCTAATTCCTTATTTTATGTCTCTAACATTTTAAACACACTTACAGTCCTGAAACAACAGATCTGCTATCTGAAGTTACTGGCAATCTGATCCTAAGTGTGTTCTATCTGTTGGTTCACCATCAGGGGATCGTTTGCTAACACGTTTTGTAATTTTGGAGGGTAAGCTTGTCTTCACTGTTGCCTTCTTTATGGGAATCCCGTGTGTGTGGCCTCCACTGAGGGTAAGTCAGTAGAGATTTCTGCATTTGGTTCACAGTTGTGTGGCATCGTGGTCTAGAATCACATTTTCTTGTTACTAGCTCATCTCAAACATTCTTAGACCACAAATTCAGCATAAATTCAAAACTCAAACTCAAGGAAGGCATAGGTTCTTGATTCAGAATTCTTGATTCATAACTGAGAGACATTTCTTTGTACTCAGATCTCTGGTTAAGACAGAGGAGTCCCCTTGTTGTCTTCCTGTGCTGACAGCTTGCACCAATGCCTGTGTTTGGCCCATCGTGGAGGCCACACAGTGCAGGTCTCAGCATTCACGACTACTTGCCTTTCTAGTTCAAGTTTCCAAGACAACGAATGTGGTCTCTATGTCTTTGGTTTAAATGTGGCTGGCTCATCTTGGGTCAGGCATCCATATCCAATGCAATCAGCTGTAGACAAGGTCTCATAGCACTTAAGGAACTCCCTTTGGGGCTGTGTTTGGAGAGAGAACTTCCCTAGCACGAACACCTAGAGGAAAGTAGGAAATAATCGTTGAAGGAAATAATTAGCATCTCTGTAACCAATAACGTTTCTCCAAAACTTCTCTTGTGTAAGCTCTGCTGTCATTGATTGTGTAGCCTCCATGGGGGGCATAACATTGTTAAGTGTGAGAATCTGAGCTATTGTAACCAGAGTGGGCACTGATAGTGCCTCTCAGGAAAGATCAAGGTGAGCATGTTCTGCAGCGCAGTGGAATCTGTTTTCAACTCAGATTAAATTTGGAAGTTGCTCTTCCATACAGCACCTAGCCCAATGCCTGACATGGTAGATATTCAATATTTGTTGGAATAAAATATCAAACATTTCCTTCGCCCTTCAGTGAGGAGATAATGCAGTGCACAGAGGTAGCAGGCAGAAAGTATTCAAAGAGAGACAGAAAGCTACAAGGCCGAGCCCAGGGAAATAAGTAAATCAAGGCAGGCAGTGAGCAAAGAATGCTGGAGGAAAGTTACATCTTTAGAGGCTCAGAATTTGGAGTAGATTTTTAATTAGAACATATGCCAACATGGAGAATATTCTTCAGTTCATAAATAAGAGCACCATCACAGGCCACACAGACCCTTCCCGCAGAGGGGTCACTGTGAACTTGGGTATTACATTAAGATAAAGCACACCCCACCAAAACCGAAGGCAATTCTCTTACACACACCTGCATAAAGGACTTAAGGGGAAGGAACTGAGAAATGTTTAAAGGGACACACTGGGTTAGTATTTCTGTATATAACAATACCCATGTTAATTATGTATTAAAATGCATGTAGCTCAAATCATCCTGTGGGTTCCTTCTTAATATGTTCTTTTTAGTTTTTGTTTTTAACACCCAAGTTAAAGGATCTCTCCAAATGCTCTTATAAATAGATATTTGGATTAAATGAGAGCTGCAGTCAAAGCTGGGGAGCTAAGAAAGCAGTTCTCCTTACAGAATGCTGCCTTACCCAGGATTTTTTCTAAGTGTAATACTTCTTAGATTCGGTCTACTAATGGAGTCTCCAAAATTTCTTTAGAGAGAGTCTTAGGGGTGGCCACATGGTTGAAAGATGGGGCTCTCAGACTTGATTTGAAACTATATTTGTGTACCAAGTATGCTATACTTCTCCTCAAATTGTGGTTTTATTAAGGTTGGCTTGGGGGAGGAGGGAGGTTAGACCTCATTCCCCAAGCTAACCTTTGGTCCGTCAGAACTCTGAAACTGAATGGAGGACCCCACATATAAAAACTCTGACGATTAAAACCCACAGCAAGAAAAAAGATGATTGTAGTGCCAACCCAGGATCCAGGGAAGCTTTGTTAGTTAAAGTTGCAGGCTGTTTTGGCTTTTCAAAACACTCAAACCACCTGTCCCCCAGACTAGGGGTAATCTTCATCACGACGGTGACATGCTCGCTCCCTGCCTGTTCTGAAGCACAGAACTCATGACAGTCTTCCTGGATGAATTCAATAGAACTTAACTCTGTCACAGACCTGGAAGATCTAATACCAATAATGACCTCAACACTGAACCTAGGGCAGCATTCCCAACAGAAGCTCCTGCAGTTGTTCTCAATGAAATCAAATTACTGTGGAAAAAATGTGTGAGACCTCCCTTCCCACACCGGGGTGAAAAGGGCAGCTTCCTGGGTTACCACCCATGGAAAACACCATCTCACCAGCTTACAGGTGGCGTTATTCCAGCACAGGAATGCGGGGAATGTGTCAAATGTGTGTGTCAAATGTGTGTCAAATTAGGTAGCCTTCCTCTTGAAACCGTTAAATCTTTGCATCTCATCGTAGCAGGGGTTCGTAGACGGGCCGGCGGTGGGAACCCAGCGGCATAACAACTGGAACCAAGCATGTCACTGCAGAAACGAGGTGCTCTGCCGTGGCCCAGAGCGGGTGCCTGGGCCTGGCATATCTCACCCTCCTTCCCCCAGGGAATTCTTTCCAGAAACACTGCTGGGTGGCAGCTCCCCCCTCTTCCAGCATTCCTGCAAATATTTATGATATAAGATAAGCACTCAGACTTCAAATTTATACTAAGCAGCTCAGGTGAAAAGACTCTATTTTGCATAGACGAGCATTCAGAACTCTGGGCAGCTTCTGAGTGGGAAATAACCATTGCACCCTGCCCCTCTCTAAAGCTCCCTACGTGGGCACCACTGAGAACCAGAAGGCACCCTTGCTGGGGAGCCCCGACTAGATGTCAGCCCAGGGTGTTGTAAGTCCCAGGACATTTCCTGAGTCCTCACCTGGTTTCACCTCTCTCAGGGTCCTTGTGAGAAATAAATGAGGTAACAATGTCAGAGGCATACTAACCTCTTCTATTCCACGATGCCATGGTACCCAAGATCATTTGTGGGCTTTGTCCTAGCCCGTGCAGCAGGTGGGCACTTGTGTTCTTGCTTGTCCAGCTCCAATTCCCTCTTGCTCTACTAACAGCACCTCAGTTTTGTCCTGGAGAACCCCTCTGCTGATGCCGATGGTTTGGGTGCCCTCCTCTGGCCAATGGCTGAGAGCGTGACCCACACTAGACCAACCGGAATTGCCCTTCTGGGAATGTGGGTCAGAGCAGGTTGGCCCCTGGACAGAAAACTTTCAGAGCTACTTAAAGCTGGGATCGAGACCCTAAAGAGCCTGTCCATCAGTCCCTGTTTTACCACATCCCTTCAGCTGCCCTGATCCTCATTCCCTCCTCAGGTTCTTGGAGCTACTATCCATCCTTACAGTAGATTCCCTGTCTGCTTCTTGGAGCCAGTGTGGACTTCCACGCCTTGCAACAGTGTGTCTCAGTATCCCCTTCCTTGCACAGATGAAGAAAGCAATTACCAGCTTCCAGGAACTAACAAGGCGAGGGGAATGAGACGCCAGCCTCCAAGCTGGCAGCCTGTGCGCCCTCCACTGCACCCTCCAGGGACTCTCCTCTCAGCCTCTTGCCTTCCCCTGTCTGCCACATCACTCTCTCCCGTTCCACGTCACCCCAGCTCGCAAACCAGATCTCTTTCAACTCTCAAGTCTCTTTTTCCTTTGGTACCGGTCTATTTTCATAAATCTTTCATTTTAAAATAAATCTCGGTGTCTCGTTCACCACCACATTTCTAAAATTCATTCCTCTGCCCCATTCCTCTGCCAACGTGCTCATTCCAGAGGAGGGCTGGCAACATCCCGGCCTTTTGGCTCCCTCTCCTGCCACCTTCCTCTCTCCCAGAGAGAAAATGAGGTTTGGACTTGGGTGGGTTGAAAGCCCATCCATGCATGCCACACATAACATTCCCTTCCTCGGCACTGGTGTATTCTGAGACAAAAAGGCCTTTGATAATGTTTCTCTGGGGGCCTGTTTGGCGCCATTTTGCGAACTGAGGGGCTTTGGCCAAGTTCCCCTTGCTGGAGAGTGAGCAGTGGGAACTGATGAAGGGCAAGTTCAGTCCCTGCCCAGGTCTCTGGGCTGCCTCTACAGCTGAGCCCTGTGCACTGCCACATCCTCACCCAACCCGGGGGTTGAGGGCATGATCATCGTCCATGGTATCTATTCCACCTAAACATGTTTCTCCTAATTGAGCCTCTACAAAAATGGCCCTGTTTGGCAGCCAGGGATCGTACCCGCCCCTCAGGAAGTGGTTACATATTAGAATTCAGGGTACCTCTTGCAGCTGGGAAACACATTCTATAGACCGTCCTCTAGGGGCCTATACGGAATTCACACCTGTGATTAACTTAACTGGCCGTCCCATTTCCCTAAAGCCTTGTACAGATCCAGTTGAGAGAGCAGCTCTCTGGCAATGAACAACTTGAGTTTTTAAGGGAGAAATCAAGGTGTAACAGATTCAAGTAATTTAGCACATCACAATAAACACTGACTTGAGCTAGGCTAGATTTCTGCCAACGTACATAATGAAAAGTGTGTATGCTGATTTCTGTCTGTACGACCTAACACCTATTATTAGATTTGTCCTGAACATTTTAAAGAGTTTTTCTAGTGTGAAATATTGAATTTTCTTTTCACTAGAAACTTCACATGCTACTGAAAATTAGATTAGTAATTTACTTCTGTGTGGGATTCAGAAGTAGCATGTTGTACGACAGAATGACCGCATATGTGAAACATGTGTTTGTGCTCAGTTGGGAGAAATTATTTTTATAAATACAGGCTGAAGAACTTATTTTTAAATGACTTCTCTTAAACTTAAAATTTATTTTAAAGCTAAGCTGCCACCACCATTAAGAGAAGGAGAGAGAGAGAGAGAATGCGGGCAGAATTCAACAACTCCTTTCCTAGCCATGTTGCATTAGGCGAGTTCTCTAAATGATCTCTTAAATTCAAGGTTCTGGCCTCAAAACTAGATTTGTTTCTCAACTTCATCTCTAGTGTACCCTTGTGCCCCTGAAAGTTGAATCATGGGCAGAAGTTTCCAGTGCTTTTATTCCTTCCCTGCTTTGAAGTCCATTAATTCTAATGTTGGTTTTCCCTCCACCCTCCTGAAAAATATGTGTGCGTCCCCAAGTTGGAAAGCTAGGAGCTGGCACCTGAGGACGCGATCACATGGAACAGGGATGGCAGGAGAGGTGAGGACCTGACCAGTGTGGTGAGCCACCACCACATACCATAGAAGGGAAGTGAGTCAGTCCTCTGAATTCTGTGATGATGAACCCAGAGCCTCTGTCACCCTCTTCCCTCCCTGTGGGCACATGCTGACCAAGCTGAGGCCGCCTGGTGTAAGGCAGGGCCAGACAGTTGTCCTTTTGCCCTTAACCATGCAAAATGCTGCTCTCGAATATCAAGTGTTGCTCATATTCTTAATCTAAATTCACTTTCAAAACACATTCTCTTTCCAGTAAAGAGAAACTGAATAATACACGTCTACAGTAGACTCTAAAATCAGGGTTTTGGTTTTTTTTCGAAGTGACTTCAGAACAGATGAAATCACTGTATACATATGCACATTTTTAAAACCATGTATATAACGAAATATGAATTTGTGCACTTGAATGAACGC